TTGCTAATGACCTGGAAATAATTTTTAATGAGAAGCCTGAACAGATAATCTCTAGATAGAAGCAGGCAAATGAAACAAACGAGCTACTACAAAAGAGAAACACTCTTAGCAGCAAATGGATAGAAAATATAAGCCTCATGTTGCCATGTGAAATGGATACTAAATGAGTATTTCATATCTTGCATCAGTGCCTAGCAGGTACACAATATTGTCTTCAAACAGTGGCACCATTTGTAAGAGGCCTCCTATGCCAGTAAAACCCACTAATCCAAATAACAATTTGTTGATGGAGACCAAGAGTGAAAAGGCTGGGACTATTAGCTAGTGGCAGACTCTTATTTTTCTTCTTACTAGCACATAGTGACAGACTTTGTTCTCTCGTGGAACAAAAACTATCTAACAGATAGATATTGGGGCTGGGGAGATAGATCATAAAAAGGACCGCTTTTCCTATTGTTCTCCTATGAAATAACTTCAAAGGAAGAATCCAGTGAGAAATCGCTGAACTATAATTTATCAATTAGATTCTCAATATACCCCCCACCAGGTTTCAATAAGAACCTTTGTTTCCTCACTCACTGCAGATGCTGATGTTTTAGCATGACCAGATCTTCAGCTATACCTTTAGATTGTCATTCCAATGCACTACTGAATCTGCTCATCATAGCTCACATTGTATTCTACACAATTAGAATTGATGTTAATCTTCGCCCACCCATGAGTCATTGAGAGTGGTCCTCACCAACTCTGAACAGACTACTCTTTGACTGGTTCTTGTTCAACAGTGGCCTGTCCTGATAACCTCTCCCCTCCTTCTCTGTTACTTTAAGTATAATCATAACAGCTATGGATGAACACTTCATATATCAGATGAAATGAGCTTCAACTCACAAAAGCTTATGCTGCAATAAATGTTGTTAGTGCTTAAGGTGCCCCCAAACACATGTTAATTTTTATCCCTACTGGGATTTCTCAGATTTGTTTTGAAAAGAAACCTCCACAAGAAAGCATAGCAGTTACTGTACCCAAATGCCCACAACCCAAAAGCATTATTTTAGCTACTGCTTGAGCAGCTACAACACACTACAAAACCTTTCCTTCACTCTGATAGACTGTCTCCAAAACCCACATCATCTAAAGACCTAAACTTACAGCAATATATCATATCTAATTCCGAACCATTCCACAAAGTATATGATCCACAGAATGGATCTATGTACAGAAGACAGAGGATTTCTATACAATCCTGAAGGAAGCCTCCGGTCTGCAGAAAAATCTAAAACCTAAAGGGGGACGGGATTAAAATTTGCTAAAATAACAGAAACGTCTGTAGTTTTAATAAAAGAATGCCCACATTATTGCTAAGCCTTCCAAGTCTTAGTTTCTACAAAACAAAGCCTGGGGGGGTAGGGGGGGAAACAGGTGTGGACGGGGAGGCCAAAACAGCCCGGGAAAAGGTCTCACCCCCAATCACATCCTCTAATGGAGAATGAATCACTGTAACAGGCCTGGTGGCAACCACCAGAGGCTCATTACCCACACAACTGGGTCCGGCCAGGGGCTGCTGCACAACCAGGCCCAGCAGCCACTGCAGGCCTAGTTGCACAGTGGTTGCCACAAGACCAGTTACATGGCCCCTGGAAGTAGCATCAAGTGTTCTGGTACTGGAATGACAGAACACTTCTGCTATGTCCAGGTGCCATGCTTCCACTCTGGAGGCTGTGATTCCACTCCCAGAGCACTTCATATCCCAGGGCTCATAATTCCATTCTGGGGGCTGTCATTCTAGTCCCAGAGCAGTTTATCTGGTTCCAAGGCCCATTCACTTATGCTACGCCCAGGGACCATCATTCCACTGAGAGGCCTGTCATTCCAGTAGTGTAAAACTTATGCTACCCCTAGGGACTGTCATTCCAGGCCCACAGGAACTCTCTCTAAATCTCTTATGTTTTTATTTTTATCTTATTGGGTTTCTATCCTGCCCTCCCCACAAACGGGCTCAGGGCGGCTTACATTTAAAGGCACTATGTGCCAAAATATATTAACATATAAAACCAGATAAAAACAAGATAAAACAATCATATTATTACAATTAAAGTGCTTAGCATAGAATTGATCTTCCAATCACGTTATGCATTTTTATTGCAAAGTTTGTTTGCTCTAACGGACTTCAATGGAGCTCATGCTAGTCAACTGACATTCCCAGTTCCTATTATGTCCAATGGGCCCTTCAAGCATCTCTCATTGTTCCCAAAGGACATTCTTGTTGCTTGTTTTAGTACCTCTCCCCAGAATCACTAAAACTGCCACTGGGGCCTGGCCCAGCAACCACCACACAAGCAGGCAAGTCCTTGCTTCTCCCCTGCTTGTAAATATATAAATATGGTCAGTGCCTGGACAGAGAGACCATCAAAGCTACCTGAGAAAGAAGGGGAGGAGTACAATAAACAGGCAAACAAGAACCATTAAAGCTTAGCAATGCCCTTCCCCTTCCAGAGGCAAACAGGCAGGCCTGCCCCACTATGGCCGCCAACCCCCAATTTATTCCCCCCGCCCTCAGCTCTCAAACCTACAGCCCCCCTCTTCCTCCAACGCGAACTATACGCGTCGCCTCCTGGGACCCGCACTCCTCCTCCAGATGCCCGGCGGCCACCTTTACTAAAAGCCACCCCAGTCCTCGTTCCCGTCCTTTGCCTCGCAGCCCCACTAGTCCTCTCCAGCGGCGCCCTGCTCAGCCGCGCCCTCTTCCACCAGAACTTTGGCGGCGGCAGCAATCTGCCCCTTCCGGCCCCTCTGTTAAGCGAAAGGATACTGAAGACTGTTCGCTCCCACGGCTCCAGCATGTAGAGCGCGGTCACCAGCAGATACTGGTAATAAAGCCACGACATTTGTTTCCAGGCCGAGTTCAGCGCCATCTCCACACCGCTCCCGTACGTAACAGCGCAGCAGTCACACAGGCAGCTCCAACAGCCGAAGCCAAGCAGAAAAGGGACGAAGAGGAAACGGGAAAGCGGAAGGCAGCTTTGCCGGTCAGTTTCCGCGCGGATTGGCTGGGCTGTTTCCTGTCCCGCCCGCCCGCTCGCTTTGCCAGACGGCTGCTTTCACCTCAGGCAGCTGATGCGAACTTTCCTCGTTTACCTGCTGACAGCGGGTTCCGATACCTTTCTGAGGTGCCCTGTGTTCGGAGGAGCCGAAAAAGAAAGCCGCCTTCGGGCTTCTTTTATCGCTGTTTCTCTGTGACGTGTAGAATGTTGAGTATTCAGTCAGAAGGCTCAAATTGAGCCTTTTTAGGTCGTAAAAATAAAGAGGACCACGCTTTATTCCGTCGTGGCTCTGCTGAGCATGCCATGCGGAAGGTCCCACTCCCAGGATGAACCGCCAGCATCTCCAGTTGAAAGTACATGAGGTGAAAGACCTTGGTCTCAAACCCTGGACAGTGACTGCAGGCCCTAGCTAGGATTTTGTAGCTTGTGGGGCAAACTGTTTTTTTTTTTTTTTTTGGTGAAGCTGTCATTTTTGCAATTTTTCTGTCTGTACACAATTGTACAGAACTATCTGTGTTCCTTTTTCTCGCCCTGATTTTGTAGCAGATTCTCCCAAATGCAAAACCTATTTGGGAGATATTGGGGTGGGGAGAGCAGGAAAGGGAACCTAGTATTGATGCTCCCCGCATTTATTTCCTCCTTGCTCTCCCTGGCCCCTTCCCTAGAACAATCTGTGATCCTTTCATCTATTTTGTGTAATTCTTCAGTGTGTTTAACCCCTCCCCAAGCCAGATGATAGCTGAATGTCTGTCTTCCAAGACTGAAATTACTTACTCAAGAGTAAACCCTCTCAGGATCCGGCTGCAAGGCTTTTCTCTACACTGAGGACTTATACAAGAGATGGAAGGATCACAGATTGTTCTAGGGAAGGGGCCTCTGGAGCTGTCCCTTTAAGAAAAGGTGTGGAGCCCTAAATAGCCCCACCTTAGCTACAGGCCAGGAGCCAATGGGATGACTCGGTATAAGGTGGTAGCTTCGTGTGTTTGAGGTTCCCCAAGGCTTCTGCTTATGTTTTGCTTACAGGATACCCCTCTCGAATTGAGACGATGCCAGCTAAGTCCCCATTTTAATGAGTTGTTCTGTGAGAAAGATAGCAATATCATTGCTATGGGGCTGTTGAAATTTATTTTCTCGGATAACCCCCACTTTGCCACCCAATCACTGCCAACATAAGGCAAACCACTTTTGAAACTGCATGGGAAGTTTCAGAAGCTAGGTGTAGTGTAGTTTAGAGATGCATATTGTTTTTTTAAAAATCTGAGCTGTTGGGATAGCCTTTGGTGCAAGATACTACATTAAAAGATAACTTTCCATGGGGAAAAAAGCATTCACTATCTCCTTTTCTTTTACAAAATAACTATCTTTCATAATACCCTCTTTCATAATACCCTCTTTCATAATACTTTCATAATAATAATACAGACAAAAAGAAAATATTTCTTCACATTAGGTGTAATTATGGAATTTAGTGGCAGGGGATGTAGCAATGGCCATTAGTTTACATTATTTGAAAAGAGGTGAGATAGAGTGCCTTTTTCACCTCTGCAACACACTGGGTTGATACTTTCATTGAGCTATCTACTGCAAGCCCAAGATCTTTTTCTCTTTCAGCCTTAGCAAGTCCAGAAGTAAGCCTATACTGAAAGTTGGGACAGTTGCTTCCTGTCATTTAACCAATTTTTAATCCATAAGAGAACTTGGCCTCTAGTAGAAGTAGATCAACTCACATTTGAGTTCCCTCTCAGGTGTGAATGAATGAATTTTATTGTTACGGTGCTTAGCCAGCAATAACTCTCAGGTATGTGCCATCAAGACCGTGAGACTTACCAATTTTTAATTTCCTGAATAGGTCTAGAACTTCGTCTCATCACCTCAATTTGGCTCAGATATTCAGGCACTTCCTGAAAATAGTGGCTGTGGCATCATTACATGCCCCACAGTGAACACAGAAAAAATATTCATTGTGTTTCTCTGCCATCTCCCCATCTTCCTTTAGCAATCCCTTTATTCCTTGGTCATTAAAAGGCCAACTGTTTCTCTGGCTGGTTTCCTGCTCCAGATATATTTAAAGAAATGTTTATTGTTTGTCTTGGTGCTTTTAGCAGCCTGCTCCTCAAAATCCTTTTTTGCATGCCTAATTATTGACCTTTCATTTCTTAAAAGGAGCCTCTTTACTTTTTATAGCTTCCTTAACTTCCTCCACCCTCAGGTAGTGCTGGCAATTTGACTGAAAATCAGCTGCTTGTATACTTTGAGAGAGCTCCTCAGACTTGGAGGCAGAGGCAAGCACTATGTCAGTGGTGTCAAACTCATTTATTACAAGGCCCAGTTCTGAGACAAATGCCACCCTGTTGGGCCAGGCCATGTGTGCCATAAAACAACATGCCAGGTACCAGAGATATAAACTATATAAAGGACAGCAGCTGGTAAGCACCGAGTTGGTGTATCCTCACTGCAAGGCCCCATGGGCTAGGAGGAGGGTCCAAAGGGGAACCCATATGGTTGGACTAGAGAGCCAGTTGTGCACCCCTGGCAGATACTCCCACACTGCTTGACTGCTGCAGATGAGGTTGTTCCGCCATGCTAAAGCCACAGAGTGACTCTGCCCCCTCACCCCGGAACAGTCTTCTGTTCCCTCCCTTGCACTAGTTGCTTACAGGCCGGATAAGAGCCCTGGATGGGCTGGTTCTGGCCCCTGGGCCTTATGTTTGACACCCCTGCACTATGTGGATTGCTTCTGTCACTAGGCATTTGAGCAAGTTTCAGGACTCCTAAAGCTCCTCCATTGAGGATTTGCAGGCTTCTGTAACGGACTCCGGGCTTGGGATCAGCCTGCAAGAAAAGACACCTGCAGTCATGTGAGTAGCAGTGGGGATATAATTCTGATGCAGAACTCGGGGGGGGGGGGGTTCTAGGATTTAAAAAACCCTCTTGACAGTTGGAGTTTGGCCGTTGAGACGGTCAGGTGTTTTTTGTTTGTTTTTTGGTCAGTGGGTAGTGTGCCAGGGGCCTGAGAAGTCATGTTGGAGTTCGCTGAGTCCAAGGAGTGAGATTTCTCTACAGATTCCAATATTAAGGGAATCTGAGAAAAGCCAAATGTGGTTCTATAACATAGTGAAATCTAAGGAGTCTTAAAAAGGAAAATAAGCTCCTGTTGGTTAAAAAAGAGATTCACGTTCCTCTCACACACGTTCCCTCTCCTGCTGGGGAGAGAGTCGGGTTTAGTGGACTTAGTGTGTGCCAGGAGGGTTTATTGGACTAGTGGGTGTTGTATGCACAATTTATGTAACACTGTTAAACACTTTTGCACTCTGCCACCGACTACTGTTATACACTTTTGCACTCTGCCACTGACTAACATGTGGCCTTATTAGGTACACTTAGCACTATATATGTTAAGTGCCATCTATGATTCTAATCACACAAACAGAAATCAATCATGAACATATATTCAGATATTAACTTTGGTTCATTGATGGCTATTGCTTAGAAGCGTGCTGGGAGAATAAAATTGCTAACTTGCTATTCGGCTAAGGCTTGTGGCCTTGGCTGCCGGCTGCAACTGCGCATGTTTCTGGTGTTGGTTAGCCTGGTTAAATGGAGAACAGTAATACCCTGTAACTTTATCAGCTAATATAGATACTTTTAGAGCTTCACGGCCTAAGAAGCGTCTATTATTTAGCTAGGGGGAAAGGACTTTGCTTGAGAAGACCCAACCCACAGATTTTAGCCCAATTAGAAATGTGTGATGAAATTAATGGAACCAATAATTATGCTTTTGTTTATGTCATATTGAGTATAAAATACTATGTCACCCTTTGTAACACTCGAAGAGTCTGTTAGGTATTCAGGAGTTCCAAGCCTTGATATCTGTACTCTTCCTTTATTAATTAATAAATATTTTAAGCTTTTTCTCTACGGGACTGTTTTTGTTTGTTTCTCAAATTGGGTTGGGCAAACACAGCCAGAGACAGAATTCCTGTCTAACATGGGTGTCCAAAACAAAAGAGGAAAAAACCCAGGGCACGGCGGAGGTATTTCTCTGTGGAGGTGGAGAGTACTTGAAACCGGCAGTCTAGAACAGCACAGGGGTTGAGATTAGAGAGAACGTGTTTTGTATTGTGGCATCTGAAGTGAAGGATTATAAATTAACTGACTTAAAGTTGAACTATACCATTTGAAACAACGTATACACAAGCATCAGCTTTTCCCTTGTATATATATTCCCTGCCTGCCTTTCCTTGTAAATAAAAGCGTCAGTTGGTTTTATAGTTCCATGTCACGTGTGCTTCAGTGTCTGACAGAGCTAAGTATCTGACAAAGTTAAACTATAAGCTTTGTCCCAGGAAAAGGTCGGTGTTCATGAAAAGCCACAGAGATTAATATTTATAAAGAGGTCTCAGCAATAAGTGGCTGGGTGTGTGACAGAAGGGCGAACTGTGTGGGGTCCTGGTTAAAAGAGGCAGACAGTGTCAGTGGAAAATAAGACTGCTCCAATTTGTGAAAGATTACAGGAACAAATCTCCACATACTCAGAAATAAGGGGGTTTGTCATAGCTTCCTTAGAGGAGAGCCTCACAGCCATCACCTCAACTAAGTCATAAATGTGGCAGCTTGTAGAAAATTAAAACACAATAGTATGAGAAAAAGGAGGGTGAGGAGGCCAGTAGAAAAAGACAGCTTTTGTCAAAGGAATGGGGGGGGGGGGTGCAGAAACCTCCCCAATGGGGGGGGGGGAGCAGAAATCTGCCCTACAAGTTCCGTGAAGAAGATAGCTGAGGAAAAAGCTGTGAAGCAGAGTCCCTCAATTATCCCTGCAGACCCTGCCAAGACAGGAAAAGAACTGCTGAATGAGGCAGCTTCCTACTGCTTGTCCCAGGAAGGTGTTCTCTGCTCCTGTTGCCTGTCCCAATGGCTAGAATCACCCACAAGTCAAGGGTTGTAGACTTCTTAGCAAATGAAATCAGTGAAATCATGGCACTATAACCTGAAAATTCAGAGGAGCAGTTCAAACCTTCACATCTGAACCACCAGTGGCAGATGAACCTCTCAAGTATACATTTACATTGACACCCCTGCACTATGTGGATTGCTTCTGTCACTAGGCATTTGAGCAAGTTTCAGGACTCCTAAAGCTCCTCCATTGAGGATTTGCAGGCTTCTGTAACGGACTCCGGGCTTGGGATCAGCCTGCAAGAAAAGACACCTGCAGTCATGTGAGTAGCAGTGGGGATATAATTCTGATGCAGAACTCGGGGGGGGGGGGGTTCTAGGATTTAAAAAACCCTCTTGACAGTTGGAGTTTGGCCGTTGAGACGGTCAGGTGTTTTTTGTTTGTTTTTTGGTCAGTGGGTAGTGTGCCAGGGGCCTGAGAAGTCATGTTGGAGTTCGCTGAGTCCAAGGAGTGAGATTTCTCTACAGATTCCAATATTAAGGGAATCTGAGAAAAGCCAAATGTGGTTCTATAACATAGTGAAATCTAAGGAGTCTTAAAAAGGAAAATAAGCTCCTGTTGGTTAAAAAAGAGATTCACGTTCCTCTCACACACGTTCCCTCTCCTGCTGGGGAGAGAGTCGGGTTTAGTGGACTTAGTGTGTGCCAGGAGGGTTTATTGGACTAGTGGGTGTTGTATGCACAATTTATGTAACACTGTTAAACACTTTTGCACTCTGCCACCGACTACTGTTATACACTTTTGCACTCTGCCACTGACTAACATGTGGCCTTATTAGGTACACTTAGCACTATATATGTTAAGTGCCATCTATGATTCTAATCACACAAACAGAAATCAATCATGAACATATATTCAGATATTAACTTTGGTTCATTGATGGCTATTGCTTAGAAGCGTGCTGGGAGAATAAAATTGCTAACTTGCTATTCGGCTAAGGCTTGTGGCCTTGGCTGCCGGCTGCAACTGCGCATGTTTCTGGTGTTGGTTAGCCTGGTTAAATGGAGAACAGTAATACCCTGTAACTTTATCAGCTAATATAGATACTTTTAGAGCTTCACGGCCTAAGAAGCGTCTATTATTTAGCTAGGGGGAAAGGACTTTGCTTGAGAAGACCCAACCCACAGATTTTAGCCCAATTAGAAATGTGTGATGAAATTAATGGAACCAATAATTATGCTTTTGTTTATGTCATATTGAGTATAAAATACTATGTCACCCTTTGTAACACTCGAAGAGTCTGTTAGGTATTCAGGAGTTCCAAGCCTTGATATCTGTACTCTTCCTTTATTAATTAATAAATATTTTAAGCTTCTTCTCTACGGGACTGTTTTTGTTTGTTTCTCAAATTGGGTTGGGCAAACACAGCCAGAGACAGAATTCCTGTCTAACATGGGTGTCCAAAACAAAAGAGGAAAAAACCCAGGGCACGGCGGAGGTATTTCTCTGTGGAGGTGGAGAGTACTTGAAACCGGCAGTCTAGAACAGCACAGGGGTTGAGATTAGAGAGAACGTGTTTTGTATTGTGGCATCTGAAGTGAAGGATTATAAATTAACTGACTTAAAGTTGAACTATACCATTTGAAACAACGTATACACAAGCATCAGCTTTTCCCTTGTATATATATTCCCTGCCTGCCTTTCCTTGTAAATAAAAGCGTCAGTTGGTTTTATAGTTCCATGTCACGTGTGCTTCAGTGTCTGACAGAGCTAAGTATCTGACAAAGTTAAACTATAAGCTTTGTCCCAGGAAAAGGTCGGTGTTCATGAAAAGCCACAGAGATTAATATTTATAAAGAGGTCTCAGCAATAAGTGGCTGGGTGTGTGACAGAAGGGCGAACTGTGTGGGGTCCTGGTTAAAAGAGGCAGACAGTGTCAGTGGAAAATAAGACTGCTCCAATTTGTGAAAGATTACAGGAACAAATCTCCACATACTCAGAAATAAGGGGGTTTGTCATAGCTTCCTTAGAGGAGAGCCTCACAGCCATCACCTCAACTAAGTCATAAATGTGGCAGCTTGTAGAAAATTAAAACACAATAGTATGAGAAAAAGGAGGGTGAGGAGGCCAGTAGAAAAAGACAGCTTTTGTCAAAGGAATGGGAAAGAAAGGGGGGGGGGGGAGCAGAAATCTGCCCTACAAGTTCCGTGAAGAAGATAGCTGAGGAAAAAGCTGTGAAGCAGAGTCCCTCAATTATCCCTGCAGACCCTGCCAAGACAGGAAAAGAACTGCTGAATGAGGCAGCTTCCTACTGCTTGTCCCAGGAAGGTGTTCTCTGCTCCTGTTTCCTGTCCCAATGGCTAGAATCACCCACAAGTCAAGGGTTGTAGACTTCTTAGCAAATGAAATCAGTGAAATCATGGCACTATAACCTGAAAATTCAGAGGAGCAGTTCAAACCTTCACATCTGAACCACCAGTGGCAGATGAACCTCTCAAGTATACATTTACATGGCCTGCAAATGTCATCACTACTTCAGTGTCACCCCAATTCAGCTTCTAATTCTCAAAAAGCAGGCAAGAATGTGTGGCCACATCAGAAAGAGACAGCATGTCCACAGAAGGAAATACTTCTTTACTCAATAAGTGATTGAAATCTGGAATTCACTGCCAGAGTTTGTAGTGATGCGCACAAGCAGAGATGACTTTAACAAGGGGATTAAACAAATATACAGTGGATAGGTCCCATCAGTGGCTACTAGCCATGGTGACTAAAGGGAACATCCACATTCAGAAGTAGGAAATCACTGAAAGACAGTGCTAGGAGGCTAAATATCTTTTACCAGACGATAATTTAAAATTGTCAAAATCACTCGGGGGGGGGGGCAAATAATTAAAATAAATTAAAACAATGGTTAAATTAAAAGCCCAACTATTTCAAATTAAAAACAAAATGGAAGTCCCATGCTTATAAGCTAAATGATAATAGGCTAACAATCTAAACTCCCTCAAAGCCTTTTCATCTACTCAACCTTCACGCAGTTCCAACTCCACCCAAACATGGGAGAGGAGATTTTGGCAGTGAGTCTATAAAAGAGGACAGAGAAGAGATTGGATTTATACCCTGCCCTTCACTACGCAAAGGTGTCTCAGAGAGGCTTACAAAGTCCTTTCCCTTCCCCTCCCCACAACAGACACCCTGTGAGGTAGGTGGGGCTGAGAGAACTCTGACAAAGAATGCTCTTTTTTCAAGAACAGTTCTTGTCAGAACTACGGCTTGCCCAAGGTCATCCAGCCAGGGGCAAGTGGAGGAGTGGGGAATCAGACTCGGTTCTCCCAGATTAGAGTCCGCGCACTTAACCACTACACCAAACAAAGAGAGGTAGAGACTAAAAACTAAGTAAAACAAGGCTAAATTAAACATAGGACAGAGAAGACACAAACAAAAGACTAAATGTGATACCTAGGTTTAACCACCCCTTCCCCTTTTAATTTTTGTTACAGTTCAGAAGAGGTTAACAGCTGAATACTCTTGTCAAATGGAGAAATTATCATCTGGTATTTTTTGCCTGTCAATTTGAAAAGGTCAACCTTGTTAAACTGTTGTTTATTTATTTGATTTATATCCCGCTCTCCCTGCATGGCAGGCTCAGGATGGGTTACATCAAATTTGATAAAAATACAATATACACCATTAAAACACTAGTAAAATACCACAGTAACCTTCAATCGGTGCCATTGTCATTGACATTAAAACCTCACAGATGCCATCTCTGGTATGCAGTTCTGACCAGCTGAAGGGAGGCTCAGTAAAGAGGGAGGGATGTCCGTCACCCTAGTTAAAATCCTGGTGGAAGACCTCCGTCTTGCAGGCTCTGCAGAATTGTAAAAGGCCCCGCAGGGCCCTGATCTTGTATGGGAGCTCATTCCACCAGGTAGGGGCCAGGGTTGAAAAGACCCTGGCCCTAGTCAAGGTGAGATAGACATCCCTGGGGCCCAGAAGATGTTGATTGGCAGATCGTAAAGCCCTTTGGGGCTCATAGAGGGAGAGTCGGGCTTGCAGTTTTGTTAGTTTTGAGATAACAGTATAATTGGCAAGCAAAAGCCAGGTTCCACACAATGGCAGAGGGTGATTCTCCAGCTGCATGGTTTCTACATGCAGGGCATAAGGCTGATCTTTGTTTGTCAAGACTGAAACTTTCTTTATTCATATGTGGAAGATTTTGGCCTGAAGGAAAACCCTGCTTTTAGAGAAAAGTGTAAATTAGCTTATAGGTGTCTTTTTTGTTTTGTATTTGCGTTGGAGTCTTGTGCAAAGTACTGATATTTGTTCCTTTTGTAAAATAAATCTCTTTTGTGTTTCCTCTCTTACGGAAAGTTATGGTTATTTGGTGTACACCCTGGGTCTTGTAAGAAAAGAACTCATGAACTCACGGAGTGTTGCTAAGTCTCCTGGGCTGGATTTGGCAAAACTCTGTGAGAGCACCTTCAATTAGGCTTCTAATACCTGGCTTGGGAGGGAAGCCTTAAAGAGGGGGTGCACCACACTAAAATAAAGTGCTCAAAGGATGAAGCACAGCCTTTTAGCATCCTTTCGCATTGGAACTGGAATTCAGTGCTAGGAGGCAATAACAGGGGAAGGCCTTAGCCTCTATGCCCTGTTGGTCCTCCATTGTAACTGGTTTGCCAGTGTTCAAGAGAGGAATGCTGAACTAGATGGACCACTGGTCTGATCCAGCAAGGCTCTTTTAATGTACATCATTAGCACACAATAAAGTATTCCTCAGAAATTATATTCAAGTAAGAAGAACTCTATGATTTCCTAGTGCAAAATCACAAGGTTCCAACAGAGAAGAATTCCTGCTTAAATTTCATTACTAAAAATGGAGCAATATTCTGGGCCACAAAGTAGGTTGTTCCAGCCTTAGAATTCAGAAATTGCTTTTGAGACAGCTTTCTGTTGGGAAGAAGTGAGCTAGACATATCAAAGACCACTTTAAACTGCAAGCAAAAAACAAGTACTCTGGCATTTCAAAATCTTTGAGGTGTGTGAACAGAACAAAATCAAATCCAAGAAGCTTTGAACTGAGTTTAATTATGCCAATTTGTACAAAGCAGATACTATTTTCCCCAACATACCTAGTCGCTACCACATGCTATCAACTAAACACAACAGACCATGGAAGCTGGCCTGATCTCCTTTTAAAAAGAATGTTTTTATTCTGATGAACAAAACTGAAAGAAAAAAATACATACTTGGCAACTGTTCTATTAATTAGGTACATAAATTAGATCACTTGTGTTATGTCTACAGACAGTATAATGAAGACATAATTTTCACACCAGATCAGGTGGGTCTTTTTATAGATGATACAAAATGGAACAAACAAAACCCCTCTGCTTTTGAAATTTAAGACAGTCTTAAGCAACATGACTTATGCATTTTAGCTGTGGCTTGCTAAAACATTGAAAAAGTGAAAAATTTCATCCTTATCCAAGACAGCCACTTCTGTTGAACATTCAGTACACTTTACCGGGTGATATATCTCCTCCTCTTCTTGTTTTTCCAGGCCAGCAACGGATTCACTACTTTGTTTAATTTTCTTGTGTGCTTTCTTTATCTTCTTGTTCAATGGGCCTTTGTATTTCAAAATCTCCTCTTTGATAACACTGCAGTTCATCACAAACATCGCTCTGTACTGAGTTCTGTATTTTTCATGTCTAAAAATAAAGGGGAAAATGCAATCATATTTACCTAGTAGAATACTAAACAAACAGTGCGGTATGAAGCCAAGAGATTTGCAAGGGAAGAAAAAGGAGAGAAGAACATCTTGTACACATTCCAGAAGTTATGTTGTTATAGCCAAAAAAAGAGTACAGTGACACATTAGAAACAGGTTAATTTAAAATGGTATTTGTAATCCACAGCATATCTCCAATGTGGTGTAGTTGTTAGAGCACTGGACTACAATCTGAGAGCGCTCCATAAGCACTTTATGCGCTTCACTGGATGTAGGCCTATCTATTTGAAAACAGTTTTATTAAAATATTATAATACACAGAAGTAGCACGTCATGATAGAAAACGTCAAGTTTTTAATTAGTTCAGTGCAGTACATATTTCTAAAAGATAAATTTCCTCCCCATGAACGTGAAGGGCTGTTTCAGCAAACAGTCTCAGCAGTTATTTACAAACATACCTCTCCTATCACGTAAGCAGAGTTAGTGATATGGTTGCCACCTTATTGTGTGAACAAGTCCCCAGTTCTTAAAGGACCAGTCTATGAAAATTACAGCATGCTTGTGTAAATAAACCTTTGCTTATTTAAACAGAGGCTAAACATATATCACACAGGTGGCTTATAGTTCAGTAATTACCTCTGGCAGTCGAGGCACAACGTAGTCATGCAGGCAGGACAGTTCAAAACAGCATCACTGCTTGGAATGGCTGAAAGTCTGGCTTGGTTGCCTTCAGGCTGAGCACTTCTGATATTATGATACCTACAATAATGCAGTATGCAGATAAGGGAATTACTCTGATTGGTTAGGCATCTTTACTGAAACACTGAAGTATTCCAAACCCTGCACCAAGAGTACGGATCTTTCTTTCTGCCTGTCTGTCCTAGTCTGTCTTTCTCACCAAGACTCAAGGCAAATTACAAGATAAAACAGTACAAACAGATACCTTAAGACCATAAGCATTTCATGCAAGAAAAATTCAATTCTTTTTTTTCTTACAGCAGTTATGTGCTCTCCATTTTAATACTCCTATTTCAAACTTATTTCATAGACATGCACAGGCAGGCCAGTAAGACGATCAGGGCTGCTTTCCCATAGCACAAAACTTATGCGGCTCCAGAAAAATGCACAGATGCACCATAAAGGAAGTGCTCATGTAGTCAATAGCTGCATGGCCCGGGCCAGTTGCTATACCTCCTTCCCACCCAAACATCTCCTGTCTGAGAGGAAGGCAAACATTCACATATGGTTGAAACCAAGGAAAAGCAGCTCTCAGGCCTCCTGCAGGTAAATATGAATAAAGCCCTAAAGTTTGCCATGCAACCTGATTTTTCATAATATTTTCCTATCATGTTCTTCAAGAAAAGTTATAATGGCTTTCAGGATTACTCTTTGTCCCATTATTAAAAAACCATTCCAGTAACAAAAAATTAATTCTGCAATATACAAGCAATTAGTTTTTGTAATATGGTGCCAGAATGTGATGGTTCCCACTTTTTAAAAAAAATGGGAGAGAAAATGTAAGAACCATCAGATGATGGGCAATACACCCTACCACTCTATACATGGAACATGGAGATTTACCACATTCCTACCTGCCTGCAGTCCCTTCCAACACTAGGAAAGATTATTCCCAGGGCTGTAGGACCCATAAGGAAGAAAAACCACACAAGTCAGGGAAGGGGCTGAAGGGAGGAAGAGCAAGAGAGTGAAATCTCTCCTCCTTCCTTTCTATAGGTACAGCTCCACAGAGGACAGGGATTGACTTTATCATCTTGCCCCTCCTTCTACAGCCCACCAATGCACATGACTGTTCCCCAGCACGGATCCTGCAAACTCAGGAATGAAATTTTGGGGGTTGGAAGAGCTGCAGGAATGGAGAGGAATGTGGGATAACTTAAATCATTCAGCCCCTTCTATATCTGAAACTCAAAGCATTCAATGCATTCTCAAAGACAAAGACAAATGTTCTACTTGGCCATACCTATTCAAGGGTGGGTGGGGTTTTTTTTGGTGAATTACAATATTTATACCCCACTTCTCAGGATAGGAAATATCCATACTTGCCATAGCAAATATACAATATATATACATTGGAGTCACAATGTGAAATTTAAGCAACTTGGTACAATAAAATGTCAATTTTGAGTATCCCTGTGGCTGTAAATAAATACTCTCATATTACCTTCTTCTTTGCCTGTCTACCCACTCCTGATCTCTTTTATCTTCTTCTGGGTCATACAGCAACTCATCATTAGTTGGAATTCGACGCTGTTTATGTCTCCTTGTTTTCTTAGTTTCTTCTGAAACTGTCAAGTTTACACACACAATTGTCAGAAAACAAAGAACATGATGAAACAGCAGAACTACAGTCCATTATGTTAGCAATCCAGCGCCTGATCCACTTGTAGTTCAGCCTCTGTAGTTTTGAGAGGGCATAGCCCACAAGATTCCCAACAGAATACATCAGGCTCAGCATGTTAGTAATACTAATTTTTATAACTAATTTTTATAAAGATTTTATATAAGAACTGTTGTCATTTGTTGCTATTATTAATAACTGGTATTCAAATAAAAAGCTCAAATGATTGAAGAGGACACTTTCTAGCAAACCCAACAGGAGGGGATTAACCAATGAACATAAGGCACTCTTCACTAGGACAGCAAACAGGCTGGCAGACACAGATAGAGCTAGTGCATTGAATGATTAGTCTGTCAGAGAGCTACTGCCAGTAAGATCCAACAATACTGAGATGGACCAATGGTTAGGCTTGGCATAAGACAGCAATATAAATTACTCTAAAACTATTAAGGTATAAATTCACCCAACTTGGGATATAGGACAACTGCAATACTACAGAGGAATCATCCCTTCCCTTCCCTATGGCTTTACATTATTTTGTGTCCCAAGGATTCTTTTGTCAGGATAGCCAGGAAAACCAAGAAATTGTATGTAAAAGATAATCTATGGTATTTGCATAGAATAAAAAGGAAATTTTTGTTAGAGACATTTATGAAAGATCTCCATTAATGTTTAGGTTCCACTGATTAACAGATCCCACCGTGTACGTGATTCCACTCACCTACAAATTACATTTATGCAACTGATTATCAAAGCCCAGTGACTAATAGAAATTGGTGTGCAATTTTTCACCTGGAGGACAGAAGTGGGGGAGAGGACACACCCAGTCAGTGTATCGGTTAAACATGAAAACCACTCCAGGCAAATATACTCTCAGACACACAAGGACAACTGTGTCCAGCCTAATTTGCATCTATGATGCAAGCCATTATAACTTTAATTAAATTAACTTGAAACAGGCGCGAGTTTCCTCATTTGCGTGAAGAGCTCTGTATGAGAAAGAAGCTACTAAATAAAACTAAGTTCATGATTCAGCTCAGTCTGTTTTGAAAGCTCAATCATCGTTAAACCCGTGTTATCTGTCAACAGCAATGTGTCACTATTTCTGTAAATGTGAATGGTTATACAGGAGAAAAAGAGCTATTGTTTGGTTATTGGTTATTTACCTACTTTGTCTTCATCCTCTGAATCAGAATCAAAATAAATGTCATCATAGTACTTTGAAGTGGTGACAGTTCCAGACTGCCCAGCACTTGAAGTCACATCTAGTCACAGAGTTGAACACAAAATATGTAGTCACCATGCAATCACTACAATAGAGCAGACACATAAATATTTTCTTGGAAATGAATCAGTTTAACATTCCTTGTAACAGTATATAAAGTTACTTCTATCTTTTGATTCTATATTTTCTGAGAGATAGTTACTTAGGAAACTATTTAATGCATGGGTGTCAAACATGTGGCCCGCAGGCTGGATCAGGCCCTTGGAGGGTTCCAATCCAGCCCGCAAAGACCTGGCTGTTTTCTGCTTTATTTTCCAGTTCTGCTGCTGCTGCCACGTTGCAGCTTGCTTTACCAGACTCTCTCAATTGCACAGGAGAGATAGATAGGCAAGCCTCTCCTGTACAATTGAGAGAGTCTGGTAAAGCACTGGCTGAGGCTCCTCCCCCTCCTCCTCCCAGGGGGAGGGAGGGACTGGACAGGCTGCCTCAATCTTACAGGAGACAAAGGGAAGCCTGTCTTCCCTTCCACTGGCTGAGGCTCCTCCCTGAAGAGAGGGAACAAGGGACAGCTTGCTTTGCTGGGCTGCCTCAATCGCATGGGAGAAATACCAAGCACCTTTAAGACCAACAAAGTTTTGTTCAAGGTATGAGCTTTTGTGTGCCTTGCTACAGTGTGTGTGTGTTTTGTTGGGCTCCTTATGCCAGGACTTTCCTGGGTGCAACTGGGTTCCCTCCCCCTTTTCACTGTATTCATGCCCTCATGATCCAGTCTTTCTCAGTAAGAAAGCAATGTGCACTCTTTTGGAGGAGGAATAACAACAAGCCAGTGAGGTAGATTAGGCTGAGTGTGTGTGTCCAGACCAGGTTCACCCAGCACATTTCCTTCGTAGGAAGTTGTAGTTATTTCTCTGGGGAAAAGTATAGTTTTGTAGACAAACACATGACCCTATGTCTGTGTCAGGATGCCTTCTCATGTTCTCGACCAGCCCATGAAGCAAGTACAAAACCTTGCAATGCCCAGCCATTTCATGTTTTCCCTTGGGTCCTAGGCTCAGAACACTGAGCATGAGTTTTCTGTAATGAATGTCAATAAATCAAAAGTAGGTTTGCAGCTTACAGATATACACCTGAACAGCATACTTAGGATGCAATAATTCAGAGCAAGAGGCGTCAGTTATCAGAGACTGTTCAACAGACAAAATATTGCAAGAGTGCTAGTGTTTTAAGCATGTTTTATTTAAAGTTTAAAAATCTTTAATTGGGCTTGCGCCTGTGTCCTTTATAAAGTTTATATCTCTGCTACCTGGCATTACATTTTATGACACACATGGCCTGGCCCAACAAGGTCTCATTTATGTCAGATCCGGCCCTCATAACAAATGAGTTTGACACCTCTGATTTAATGCATGCTACACTTTCCCCAAGGACTCACAGCAGCCTCCCAAAATCTCAGATAAATTTGCTCAAGCCCACTCAGGAGGCTTTTGAGACAGAGAGAGATTTGATCCTTACTTTCCCTTATTCAAGCCACTGTGCCACAGCAGTTTTCTGACTACATAGGTCTATTCCCCACACATTATGAGAAAACCCAATTTTCTGAACCAAGTACTACAGATTTTAAAACCAGTTGTTTCTCAATATCAAAACAACATATGCTAAATATGTTACAATAGATAACTTGGCAATTGTTAAGTCATGTCCAGAGAGCAGTCTCATGAAACCTGCAGCACAGGAAGAAACTCAAAGAAACATCCTCACTTTTGTGCTTCCAGCCGCTTTATGTCAACTGAAGACAGCCAGCCATAAGGAATACACTGTATGCCCCTGGACTGATTAACTCAACATCAGCCCAAGCTGAAACATACTCCACACATCCTGACAGCAGGAACTGTGTGCTATATAAGCACTCAAATCAGAACTACCTGCACATTTGTTTTGGTAAGAATGTTGCTAACAAATGCAGGGTGGAAACTTTTTCCATATCTAAAGTTAAAATTAAAAACTATGAACAGATGCCATTGACATTACAACATTAAGAAAGCTTGGCAGTTAAAAAGTTGTAATTAATGTTATTATCCCTAGGAATTTGGTGAGAGAGTACATATATGTTTTATCAATGTGTAAACAGGGGGAGAGATAAAAACATAAGTACTATAATCAAACGGGGGGGGGGGAATCACCTGTGTAGGTCAAGTCAAAGTTAAAATTCTGATTTATATGTTCTATGTGGTAAAAAGGATATTCTGTCCCAGAGAGCATTTGCTGGCAGGTAAACCTCTGTGTACTAGCTTTAATTCTGTTTTAATTCTGCATTAATTTTAATTTGTGAAACATGTGGGACGTTGTGCCCTGCAGCTTTTGCTGTTCTGTTAGTCACCTGGAGTTTGCAGAGATAAAGTGGGATTAAATATTTTAAATAAACAAATACAACAAGCACCATCTTGAAATGGAACTAATAAGTAAAGCACAAGATGAGGTGTCCCCATGGACCCACCCCCTCATGCTTAACAATTAAATGCTGCTGAAACATATGAACAAACGGGCAATCATGTCCATGGTGTATCATACATAGTTTTCTGAGTGTGCTAAAATTAGTGTCAATAATTTTCAGCATCTCTGGTGAAATACATGCTGTATTACCCCTTTTAATGTATTCCACCTAAAGCTTAGAATTTACCATTTAAACCACACTTGTTTGGGTGGTTTGTTTCTTAATCATATATTCAGTTCCAGTATTTCTTACTATCAGGACATAACATTAATGTAAAGTATTTTTAAATTTTTATTTACCAAATACAAGTAAAAATAAGTAGTTATAATTTGTCTGGAAAACCCACATCATGGGTTGCCAAAAGCTCATTTTGTCTGAAAACAGTAGATTAGTAACCATAGCAACCAACCCAACATTCTCTAAAGTAAATGTAGGGAACCATTTCGGTCATGAAACAAACCACTAGAGAATCCACAAATAATTAAGATAAACAAAAAATGGTTCAACCTAGTTATGTTTGTTTTTGTTCTATAAAGCCATATTCTTTGGAAAGAAGGACCACATGGACCTATGCAATGCCTTAAGGTCTTGGTCAGCCACAAATAGAGACATATTACTCATACTCTATAATTTTGTAAAGATATTTTACCTGTAAGCTGTGACTTCCATTTGCCTTCAATATTTTTCATGGCACAGTCCAGTTCAGCTTCCATTTCTTTCTGGAACTCATCTTCACTAGAAGATTCACTTTCTCCAGTTAGACACTCCCTTATCAGTTTTCGCTTCTGCTCAGGGGTGCCGTGTAAAAGCACATCAACTTCATCTTCAGAGCTAAAAAAGGATGAAATGTTCAGGACCATTATATCAGAACAGTCATGCCGATCATGTCAATAGTTCAGTAAAAACATCTGAAAGGGTCTATCCTCCCCCTCCCCACTTTGAAGCTTTAATTACAAAAAAGTACTATTAATTCTGCAGCAGCAACAATGAAAACATCTGCTTTTATGCAAAAATTCTGGCCTGTAGGGATGAATATCTTATACACAGGCAAACAAGGAACTAAAGCACGCTCTACCTGAATGGTTCACCTAAGCAATACCTAGGAAACCCAACACACAGATAACCTTGTAAAAAAATTACAGAAAAAATAGGATGGCACCCTCCTTACTTAGAGTTCCAAGGGATGCTGTCATATTGTGCCCAGCTTTGGACACACAGTGATACTACTAAAACAACTGGAGTTGCAAATGTACACTAAAGCCCACATCCAGCTGTTTAATCAGGAGAAAGAGAGAATTTATTTCTGATATGTTATTAGCCACATGGGGATTCGTGGATACTTTCTTCAAAATTCTTCAACATTAAAAAAAATAAGAGGAGGATTAAATTCGTCTGGGCATGCTTCAGCTCCAGCCACATCAGAGAAGTACGGCGGCCGAGGCTCCGGAGCGACGGCCGGAGTCTTTCCCTGCCGCGGTTGGAGCTGCAGCCGCGTCTCACCGCCGTCGCAGGCCTAGCCGCGGCTGAGAAGGACGCCGGCCGCAGCTCTGGGCCCGGCCGAGGCGGCGGTTGCCGGCGGCAGCTGCAGACCCAAGAGGAAGACGAAGTCGGTGGTGGGGCCAGGAGCCTCGCTAGCCTGAGACGGGGGGGGACACCTTTCGTTTATTAGGAATACCCAAGTCACTGGATTCATACATGAATCAACTGTGCAAACATTATAGACACCGCCCAGTCGAGAGTACATGGAGTCTAACAAACACATCACCATGCATATCAGGGTACGAACAGTTTGCTGCTTTCTCTGTCACCTAAGCAACAAGAACAGGGAGCGATGCCTGAAAGCCAAGTTTCTTTCAGAGCCTTTTTAAAAAGCTGTCGATGGCGCCAAATATTTGGAGACGACAAACAGGGTGAGCTTCCGAAGACCAAAACAACCCCCCCCCCCCAATTTTCTCATACGACTTCAGATGCATTCTCGCAATTAACTCCTCAAGAGCATTTCTGCCTGGATTTCTCATACCCATCCCACCCCCACGGGACGGCTAGACTTGCATAGCCTCCCACTCCGACCTGCTCTGCGCCAGCTCCTCGTCGCTGGGCTCTTCGATTACATAGGGATCATCCTCCTCCCGCAACCGGCTCATGGCGGCCCCTTCGAACTCGCGTCCCCCGGAAACGCTAACCTTCTTCCGGTTCCACCTAATCTGGAGACCGTACTTCCGGTTCCTGAGTCATCTCCGGGTGCTCACAGCTCCTAAGGCAGACGAGTTATCCTTTAATCGTGTATCTGCTGCGTTAGTTCCCCAAGCTTTTGGGCAACTAGAGCACCTTAAAAAATGTGGGTTTTCTTTCATTATAAGCCCCTATCTTAAGCCAGAATAAGTACCACCTCGTTGTTCTTCTGCTAACCTAAACGAATCCATTCTGTTTCTCCCCCCTGGGGCAAGCAGTACAAATGAGAGTAAGGACTCCTATAAATTTACTTTGTGTGGAAGACTTTATTTGAGGGGCAGCCTCTCTCTCTTTCCTGTTCTCTTCTGCATTTGAGTGCCCCCCCAAATATTCAGCTTGAGTAAATGACATTTTTATTAAGAGGACTTTTTATCCTTAAATTCAACTAGAGTAGGTAGACTAGAAAGCAGCGTAGTATATTACAAATACAGGATCACAGTAGAAAGGCATCCCTGCGTCTGAGGGGCAAATGCAATAGAGAATACGGAAAGGAATTGGAGCTGGAAAATGTCAAAAATTGGACAATTTTTAAAAATTTTCATTTTGAGTGAGGATCTTTTACAAAAATAGAGGATTTTCTGGTTTTGTCTCTTGCTGTAAATTAATAAAGCACTGTCCCATTTATTTTGCTTTCACTGTAGTGCTGCTGCTAGCTACCTGCCTGTAGCTACTGCACAGAGGTCTGTGTGCAGTCTGCATGTTTGTCCAGAAGTAAACCCCTCTTAAGTTCAACATAGCTTACTTAAAAGCCATATAAGCCTGGAACTGCAGCTCGTGTCTTACACTTCTTGATTTGGGTTGCTTTCAGACTGCTTCTCTCAGAAAATAAACATTAGGTAGCTGGTTCCTTCATCTGACTTTCCTCCTATAGCAGAGAAAAACTTCTCTACCTTGAGTGGTAGGCCACACTTGTAAAATGATGGCATCTGTACTTGCTTTTCCTGTCTCTAAAATTATGTTAGGATAGGATTCAGCAATTTCAGAACAATATTAAAATGAAGAACAATACTGGATTAATTGCCATAGTGACACAAATGCATTCAGCATGTATTACAGATTTTTGTATCTTGATTTGAAGAAAAGAAGAAAATTAAAGACTTCTTTAATTCTTGGGGTCCTTAGAAGCACAGTTTCTGGTCCAAAACGCATCACAACTACAGCCACCAGAACCTGAATACTCTAGCAGATACAGATTTTGCCATCATCGATACAATGGAGAAAGGAGAAGCGCTCTAAGGAATATTTGCACCTGTTAGTTTATCCAAGAAAAGGATACAGTAGTAAGGTCTAGGCCTGGCACCTGCATTCACAGCTCATTTTGCAAGATCTCCGTTTCAGTGCAAGAAACCGGTATGAATATGCCTTCCTTTGTGTTTACCATAGACATGGTTGGAGAAGCTTACAGTTGAGACCTATTTATTGATTTAAAGCATCTTCTGCCTTGCAGCACTCAAGGTTTCACGCCATATAAATAAAAGTTATAGAATGCATAAAATAAGTTTAAAGTCTCAGGCTGCTAAATTAGTCAAATGCAGTCCTAAATAAAGCTTTCTTCAGATGCCTCCTGAAGATCAAAAGCAAAGGTGCCAGGTACACCTCCCTTGGGAGGTTGCTCCATAACTGTGGGGCTGGCCATTCTTATATGCCCAACCAGACAAGCTTCGTTGATTGGTGAGGCAGGCAGGAGGGCCCCTCCCGGTGATATTAATCCCTGGACATCTATATACATGGGATTCTAGATTAGTGCATTTTATTAAAAGAATCAACAACATTTACTGTTAAGTGGGTATTCACTAGACTTGAAATGATAAACATAATACAATGACTGCAGAATTTTAGAAAAAATCACTTTTCACAGTTTATTTTACAATAATTGGGATTAGTCTACAAGTTAAGGCAAACATACTAATGCATTTGCTTTTCTTTTGAAGTTCCTATTATAAAGATTACATAAAGTTTGCTCCAAAATTTCTAGGAAATGTTTGTTATTGGAAAAAAAAGTTAAGATGCTTGATAACATTATGTGGAATAACCAAGACAATGCTTTATAACAACAATATTCAAACACCTAGTGGCAACATTTAATCAATTTGGAACAATTTGTTTCAAATTATCAACTTCAGAAGTTACAAAAAGGTAGTAAAATAAGAGTGGCAGCAATATTCAATACTAGCCTTAACAAGAACATAATTATATTGGCTACTTTCACAAAAAAAAGAGACCAAGAATGTTTGTTGGTTTCTGAGCAATAAGAGCATACAATGATTAAATTAACAAGTGTGAATATGTGTGTATAACAATTTTGCCATTGCTTCAAATAGTCTGGAATTACTCGGGTGAGCTTATGCTTTTTCGTGGAAGGGGGGAGCTTGCTTATATGTCCTTTGTAAACCGATTTCCTCATCAAGTTTTAAATGCCAATTTAAAGTCATGAAAATAAACTCCAGCAGAAGGCAGCCCTTTTAATGGGAGGTTGAATCCTGATTTATGTATCTCCATTTAACACTGCCAGACAGCTCTGCAACAGCTGTAGATTACCCTGTAGAAACAAAACAAATGTCACTGCCTTTGTTTAGTCTTGCACAGTGTAAAATACAGTCTACTAAATGACAATAGAACAATCTACCGTCTTTTCTCTTTAGGTGTAAAACATGCAGGTAATGTTTGATGGACTCTCAGAAGCCATGAACAGCACAGAACTTCTAGACAATCACATAGTTGAGGTGGACTGGCCAGTGGTGTACCAAGGGTGGGGTAGGGGTGTGCTCCACCCTGGGTGCAGCTTGAGGAAGGCCCTTGAAGGAGAGCCCTTGAAGCCAGTGTCATGCTGCGTCCAGCCAAACATCTTTCCTTTTATTTTTAAAAAACAGTTTTGGCTGCAGCCAGTAGGGGTGCAGGGAAGTCTGAGCATAGCAAAAAACACTCTAGGATCGGCTCAATTTCCTTTTCTCCAAGATTGAAACAAACTAGCTTAACAGATCATACAAATAAGCCAGCATACTGATAGCTGCTACAGTAATTGCAAGCCTGCAGGTCTAGCCTTTCTGCCTTTCTTTCCTTGTACCCAGCTCAGCCAGATCTTGCAAAGCAATAGTTAGGGTATTGCAGCAAAATAAAACCAATCCCTCTCTTAATTTCTCTCCCTCTTTCAGAAGGCACTCGTTTGCTGGGCACTGTATACTGTGCTGGTTCTGCTGGGCTTCCACAACCACCCCTGCTTGGACTGGGATTCTGTGCCTGACATCAGCTGGTATTGCCACAATGGCACTGGGTTAGCTGGGCACCGTACATTGCAGTGGTTCTGCTAGGCTTTCAACCCCCCCCCCGCTTGGACTGTAATTTTGTGCTTGACATCACCTGGCATTGCCACAATTGCACTGGGTTCTGCTGGGCCCTCTGTGACTGCACTTGTACTGCTGGGCACTCTGTACACTGTACTTGTTCTACTGGGCTTGCAAAAATGCCCCCCCCCCCACCTTCAATTTCTACTGCAGAGATTCTCTGGTTTGACTTTAGTCCTTTGGAAATAATGGAGGATGGGGGCACCATTGTTGGGGGGTATGTGTTTCTTAACATCCACTCTGGTGAAGCGTGTGATCACTGTTTTGTGATGCTTTGGCTGGTTTTTATTTATTTATTGGACTTATAGCCCGCCCTCACCTACGCAGGAAGGCTCAGGGTGGGTCACAGCATTTAAAATCAACATACAATTAAATACAATTTAGATTAAAATTAACAATCCCAGTGTTAACAGTTCCATGTTAGATAGCACAATAGGGCAGATGCAGAATTGATTCCAAAGTGGGGAGTTGCCAGTCATCCTTGACCATGCGCCTGGTGGAACAACTCCATCTTACAAGCTCTGTGAAATTGTTCCAAGTCTCGCAGGGCCCAGGCCTCATTGGACAGAGTGTTCCACTAGGCTGAGGATAGCTGGACGGCCTTCGGACCGGGTTATTAGCTGAGCAAAGTGCCCTTTGGGGGACATAATAGGAGACGCAATCCCTCAGATAACTTGTTAGTAAAAATTAGTACAAAAGCAGACTCCTAGCTCTCCAAAATGCCTTGTAGATGCTTGGGATGGTCAGCTCTTGGGCTTTGAAATGGAGAACAGAAGCCCTCCCAAGTGCCTGCTCATAACACAAGTAGTGTGATGGATTTTTTTTTGGGGGGGGGGGCATCAAGTCACAGCTGACTTATGGTGACCCTGTAGGGTTTTCAAGGCAAGAGACAGTCAGAGGCAGTTTGCCATTGCCTTCCTCCATGTCAGCTCTGCTTAGATTCTAAAGATCTGACAAAATCAGGCTATCTTAAGGGTATCCAGGTCAGGGCAAGGCTGAGAGTAATGTGACTGGCCCAAGGTCACCCAGCAAGCTTCCATGACACGAATGGTGATTTGAACCTGGATCCTAGTCCAACACTTTAACCACTATACTATGCTGGCTCTTGTGATGGAATAGTGTGTTGGAATTTGAATCTTTTTAACTAGTATAATTATATATATGAAGTTAAGTAAAAGAACATTTTCACTGTCTGAATTTCTTTTCTGGCCATTGAAATAAAGTTTGGGTCCAGTGGCACCTTTAAGAACAATCTTTGTTCTGCTGCTTCAGACCAACACAGTTACCCATCTGAATCTATTTTCTGGCCATTATTATTTTTAGGTTTATTTCATGATTATTACTGGGGGGGAACACTGTCATATCCCTGACCTGGATAGCCCTAACCTAGCCTGATCTTGTCAGACTTCAGAAGCTAGGCAGGGCCAATGTGGAGGCAGGCAGTGGGGAACCACCACTGAATGTCTCTTGCCTTGAAAAGCCTACAGGATCGCCATAAGTCAACTGTGACTTGACAGCAAAAAAAAAAAAAAAAAAAGAGGAGGGGGTGTTAAAAATTATCTCCTGTGGGTGCCAAATAGGCTA